TTTTTTTCACATTCCACGGCTCAGTAGGGAGTAATGTACTGAGAAAATCACATTTACTGTCAATTCGTGTGCCTTCAGTTCAAATCTGTTCCTATAAGCATAATAATCCTCTCACTTATCAATATTCAGTGCCCTCATAATGTCTCTACTCTGTGTTTTATCAGCCTGTACACATTTGTTGATGATCGGTACAATCAAATATAACTTTACATACATTGATACGGACTATGTATGGTCTATTAACTTCCTATGAACGTTTATTTCATCCTAAACTATTAGAATCGTTCTACGGAGTCAGAAATGGCAGTTCGAAATTTACTTGGAAGAAATTGAATTTACCCGGCCAATCAGTCGTAACTAACACAATAAACAAGCATCGATTTAAGTTGCCAAATCACACCAACATAGCGAGATGAGTTGTAAAGTTTCCAATAGTAGTAGAAGTATGATCCGAAAAGAATGGATAAAACAAGAAAATAAAAAGTGAAATAACACTGAGACAAAACCTAAGGTAAGATAAAGAGTGAAAGCTTCTGTAACCAATTTTAACCACGTCACTCAAGGTTTCCAGCCATTGGTCTCGATAAACCCGGTCAGGTAAAAATGACTTCGGGTGACATAATGATTTTGTAGATTGGTTCTGTTCTTGTCTGGTTGCTCCTGCCTTTCAACCTTCTCATATCCCAGAAATTGTGGGTTGAGTTAGACGGTGGTTGAGGGTACGTGATATTAGTAATTAGAAATTAGGAGACTCATCAACCAGCTAATATAAGTTATAAAAATAAATTAACAGTAATACTCCTGAACAAGTGAATTCATCTGATCACATTACTTCACTAAAATATTTATTTAGAATTACGTATAACGTTAAACCAAAATGGTATAAATTAGTCAGTTATGCAAAGCAAAGCTCTCGTGACTAGCTTGTTCAAGTTTCAGTAATCAAAGACTTCAATTCACCTGCGTTCGCAGTCGAACATATCATCTCTTGTTATTGTCCTTCGTGCTCGTTATTTTCCGAACTTTCCTACACTTATAATTCTCCGTAATACACCGGTTTTACATATTTGATACATTGAAAAGGGATAGTTTTTTGAAGGAAACTAACTACTGATTAGTCGATTAACCTATCGCGTTACAGAGCATCGTAAGGACGAAATGTTGTCATCAACAAAATACTGGTTGATTGGTCACACAAGTGAATTTATTTAAAAAAGGCTATTAACACAGAGAAACTGATGAACTTCGATATATTAAGTTCCGCTGTGAATATTATTATTCATATCAAATCATAAAGCGACTTTTGCCAAATACTTACTTACTTACGCCTGTTACTCCTAATGGAGCATAGGCCGCCGACAAGCATCCTCCAACCCACGCTGTCTTGGGCCTTCTTTTCTAGTTCCATCCATTCCTTGTTCATTTTTCTCATGTCTATCTCCATTTCCCGGCGTAATGTGTTCTTTGGTCTTCCTCTCCTCCTTCGCCCTTGAGGATTCCATGTGAGGGCTTGTCTCGTGACGCAGTTCGGTGGTTTCCTCAATGTGTGTCCTATCCACTTCCAGCGCTTCTTCCTGATTTCTTCCTCCACTGGGATATGGTTTGTTCTCTCCCACAATAGGTTGTTGCTGACAGTATCTGGCCAACAGATCCGAAGTATTTTGCGTAAACAGCTGTTAGTAAACACTTGTATCTTCTGGATGATGGCTTTCGTAGTTTTCCAGGTTTCCGCCCCATACAGTAGAACTGTCTTCATATTTGTATTGAAAATTCTAACCTTGGTGTTGGTTGCCAATTGTTTTGAGTTCCAGATGTTCTTTAGTTGTAAATATGCTGCTCTTGCTTTGCCGATCCGTGCCTTCACATGTGCATCAGATCCACCGAGTTCATCGATGATGCTGCCCAGATGTGTAAAGGTTTGTGCATCTTCCAAATCTCCATCAAGTGTGATTGGATTGGTGCATGATGTGTTGTACCGGAGAATCTTGCTTTTCCCTTTGTGTATATTGAGACCTACTGCTGCTACACTGGTTGTCTTCTCCTGCATTTGTTGTTGTGCGATAGAAGAGCCAGATCATCTGCGAAGTCTAGATCATCCAATTGCATCCTAGATGTCCACTGTATCCCGTGCTTCCCTTCAGATGTTGACGTCTTCATGATCTAGTCGATCACCAGGAGAAAGAGAAAGGGTGAGAGTAAGTAACCTTGCTTGACACCGGTCTTTACTTCGAACGACTTTGTAAACTGTCCTCCATGCAAGATTTTGCAGTTTAATCCATCATAGGAATTCCGTATGATATTGACTATCTTCTCAGGCACGCCGTAGTGTCGGAGAAGCTTCCATTTGTTTGTTCTGTCCACGCTATCAAACGCTTTTTTGTAGTCGTTGAAGTTGATGTAGAGTGATGAATTCCATTCAATTGATTGTTCCACAATGATCCGTAGAGTTGTGATTTGGTCTGTACACGATCTATCCTTACGGAATCCTGCCTGTTGTTCTTGAAGTTGGGCGTCTACGGAGTCCTTCATCTTATTTAACAATGCCCTGTTGAAGACTTTTCCTGGTATTGAGAGAAGAGTGATACCCCTGTAGTTATCACAGTTGATTGAGATCGACTTTTTTGGTATTTTGACCAGAAGTCCTTCTTCCAGTCTTTTGGTACTTGTTCCTCATCCCAAATCTTTCTGAAGAGAATGTGGAGTATCCTTGCAGTTACCGCTACGTCTTCTTTCAGTGCCTCAGCTGGAATGTTGTCTAGTCCTGCTGCTTTGCCACACTTGATTTGTTTGATGGCTATGCTTCTCTTGCAGCCTTTTCTGCCGTCACTGCTAAATCCTCCACATATTTACGTTTGTCAGTTCTGATGCTCCTCTTCACTTGCTTGTTTACTTCTGTGTATTCAGCTTGTGCCTTAGCTTTCTTTGCTCTTGTTCGACTGGTATTGATTGCTGCTTTCTTGTTCCTCCTTTCTTGAATCTTATCCAGTGTATCGACCGTGATCCAATCCTTGTGATGGTGCTTCTTTTGGCCCAGAACCTCATGATATGTTGAAGTGATTGCTTCTTTTATCTTTTACCAGTTGCTCTCCATAGTAGTTCCCTCTCCATTGAGTAGATCATGAAAGGCTTGGAACTTATTGCTGAGGGTTATCTTGAATTTATTGAGTTTGTCAGTATCCCGAAGAAGAGCCGTATTAAATTTTTGTGATATTGTCCTCCCCGTTGTCCAGTGCCTCTTGAGTTTCAATTTCATCTTGGCGACCAGCAAGTGATGATCTGATGCTACATCAGCTCCTCTCTTTGTTCTCACGTCCTCCATCGTCCTCCTGAACTTTTTGTTGATGCAGATATGGTCGATTTGGTTCTGTGTGGTGTGATCCGGTGAAGTCCATGTGGTTTTGTGTATGCGTTTATGTGGGAATATAGTCCCGCCTATGACCAGTTTATTGAAGGCACATAGATTTGCAAATCTCTCACCATTTTCGTTCCTTTCCCCGAGTCCGTGTCGTCCCATGATCTCTTCATATCCGGTGTTGTCAGTTCCAACCTTGACATTTAAATCTCCCATCAGAATAGTCAGGTCCTTTGTTGGGCACTTCTCGACGATTGACTGCAGCCTATCGTAGAATTGATCTTTAGCGTCTTCATTGTAGTCGTTGGTAGGCGCGTAGCATTGGATGACGTTCATTGTAATGCCCTCCTTCTTTGTTTTGAGGCAGGCTTTGATGATCCTTGGCCCATGAGATTCCCATCCTAGAAGTGCATTTTGTGCTTTTTTGGAAAGCATCGATGCAACTCCTTGTGTATGTGGAGCATTTTCTTCTTCATGTCCGGAGTATAAAAAAAGCTCCCCTGAACCTAGTCGTTGTTGTCCAACTTGTTTTACTGACTCCAAGCACCTTCGGGTTGTATCTCTTCAGTTCTGGAGCAATTTGGAAGAGTCACCACTGTGCGAGCTTTCCATGTTCCCAAAATAACGGGTGGTCTAGATATCAGACAGGGCATCGGCCTCGTAACTTCCGTAGGAACTCGGCTTTCACCATGAGGCGTCATAGCTCTTCTAAATGAAGACCTTCCGACTGCCAGGAGAGTTTATATGGTTTGAATAATTTTTCCTGATCATCTTTTTTTTAGCGAGTTAGTTTTCTACGGGATGGGGTCGCTAACACCATGCCCAACCCTCCTCCTTTATCCGGGTTTGGGACCGGCAGCAGCCCCCAGAGGGACTCTAGGCGGAGTTTCGCCAAATACTACTTACATAAATTAGGATTTATATTAACATAAATAGAGAATTTAAGTACTTGGGCCAACTTTTCAAATAATAGAAACTTCGACTAAAAAGGTTACATTAGACAACTATTATAATCAAGTATATACACCTAGGTACGCTTTTTTGAGTCAACATTCAAGTGTTATGCTTAATAATCAAACTTGAATCTTACGTAACACTAGGATCTCGTAGATTTAGTTCCATAAATTAAAGATGATTGACTTCAAATGTACAACAACCTAATCTTGACAAACTAATAATCGGAGAAGTATCTATTTTGAGTTGTATATCTCAACATGAGTGTCTTTAAAGACAGACAAAAGTGAACAACCGCTGATTGTTTTAAAATATTCATTCTAGATTATTTATTTAAATAACAATTAACTCTTATTTTGAATATAAAGTTTTTACAACACCCTTCTCCTGTGAAAAACATCCATTCAGTAATGCTATATATTCCGATAATCTTACCGATCAATCGACCTGTTATAGCATCAAATAAACTAATTATAGTTCCAATATAGTATTGTCCAAGGTTACATTTCACTATCAAAGGCGTGATAACTCACTTTTTTTGGTTAGAATTAAATAATCTTGTTAAACGATGTAACAAAATAAACTAATCAAAGAGTATTCACCTAATTATTAGCGATCACAGTGTAAATTGACCTGAAGAGTACAAAACAAAAATAAAAAAACAATGAGGAATGGGAAGGATAATTCCAATTTCAAGTATGAAATCAGTATTTATATTTACCTAACTACAGGCTTATCATAGAGAATATTTACAATAACAAATGTAATTAGTAAGTGTTTCTTATAGAAAAGTTAATGCATAAATCTTTTGAAATGTAATAAGAAATCGGATGAAACAAAACATGTTTATATTGGACTGAAAATCACAGATAAATTTTATTAAGAAAAATTCCACTTTCCACGACGTAAATCTTCTTTGACTTTGTATTGAACAAGTTGCATGCAGGCAATAGCATCCTCCATACTGTTGTGACCATTCTCTACATTAAAAGTAAAACATTTACATTAATACCATAAAATATGTATCTACAATTGTTAAATAAATAAAAATCATGATACCTTACTCTGTAAATACAATACATCATATAATCATAATTTCATTCAAAACTTTATCATTATTATTTTATCCGAAAGGATTTGGGAAGGGTTGAAGTTTCAGAATTATTCTGCAGGAATTCATGACGCGCGTTTCGCCGTATTTAGGATTTGCCAGCTGGACGTACCTGTGTGGTGTGTACTACTTATGTAGACATAAGTAGTATATGGTGTTATTCGTGAACAGAATGTCTGGCAGCAGAGAGACAAGAAGATCGAACAGTAAAGAATGAAGACAGACTGCAATTTGTATGAAAATGCAAGAACAATGAAGTCTGAGTCATTTTGTGACAATTGATGGACATTTTGCAAATTGAGCATTTAATATATGGTTGTTAGATTTCATTAACAAGTACTGTAATTTGTTGTTAAATACATCCGATTTTAGCAGACTGTTTCATGGCAAAAGTAGAAAACAACCAACTCCGTTCAATGATCAATCGATTTCACCTATACGTGAGATACATGGACGACACGTTTATCGTTTGTGACAATAATATTGATCTAGATGATATTTTACACACTTTTAACTCATGCCACCCATCCATAGACTTCACGTTAGAAAGGGAACGAGACCAATCAATTCCTTTTCTCGATGTACCTCTGATGAGAAGGAGTAATGGTTCTTTAAAAAGATCGGTCTTTAGAAAACAAACATGGAATGGCCAGCTAACCAACTTCTATAGCTGGGTCCCGTTAAGTAGAAAGAGAAATCTTATCCATTCTTTATGTTATCGAATACACCAGATATGCAGTACGGAATGCATTAACGAAGAACTCGCATTCCTCAAGAAAACCTTGAAGGAAAATGGCTACCCAGAACGGTTCATAGAAAAGAATCTGAATAGAAGTAATTACGACAAGAAATCTAGTTGTTCCGTTCCGAAGAAAAACCTTTATATAAGTCTGGAATTTAAAGGTGATCGAACATTAGATGGGATCAAAAATCGTCTAACAACAACGATTAGAAGAACATTTAATGCAGCTAAACTGCGAATAACCTTCACTAGTAGGAACTTATTTTCTGTATCCATAAAAGATAAGCTTCCGCGTCTGGTCGCCTCTATGTGCATCTATCAGTTCACCTGCTCTTGTGGAGCAAGGTACATTGGCCGTAGCCAGCGCTCGCTTTCAACTCGGATACGGGAACATATTCCAGCTTGGTTCTATAAGGGTGAAAGGAAAGCAGTTAGGAGTTCTATACTTGAACACCTTATCGACTGTAACCATTCTACAGATCCACAAATTGATTTTAAGATTGTTTATATGATTCGTCCAAATCTACCTAGATTTCTTCGTATCCAACTCTTAAAAATAGCCGAAGCTCTTACCATTCAGGAGCTTAAACCAGAACTATGCGTACAAAAGAAGTACGTCTTATCGCTATCGTTACCTTGGCCTTATTATTTTGATTATTCTATTATTTGAAATATTCCCATAATGTAAATTTAGAACAACATATATAAGCGAACAATATTGTTTTCGATTAGATCCTCATCAGGCTTTACTCTAATATACAGTAATATTTATATGCATATACGAAATTATTAAACCAATCAAGGTAGTTTATATGCATATAAATATTACTGTATATTAGAGTAAAGCCTGATGAGGATCTAATCGAAAACAATATTGTTCGCTTATATATGTTGTTCTATATTCTATTATAATTATTATTAATGTTGCATTCCCCCTTTACTTACGTCTTATATTCTCATTGTTTTTATTCGTAAATACTCATCATATTACCTCATTTATTTATTTTTTCACACCTCTATGACCTTTAAGTATTATAACAAAAACATTTTAATCATCTTATTATATTCACTAAATCTATTGTTATTATTCGTATTATGTAATCTAGTATTATAACCCCTTTTTATTATGTCATGGTTAACTGTGTTCACATTTCCTCACGGAATTAGTACTTTTACAAAATTTTATATATATATATATATACGATTGTACAGCTTGATAATAAATTCGTTGAAAAGAGATCCCTTCGCTGAACTTCGTGTTTTAATTTTAATGTTTAAATGGGAATTATCTGTCAACATCCGATTGTCCCCATTGGTGTTCTTGTTCACTACTTCTGTATCATAGAGTTGATGTTAATCACAGGATTCGATAGTTTGTTTCAAACGACATAGCTCTACCCACTTAGCTAGTGACTACATATCAACATTAACTTGTGTGACCGGTTTGAAATTTAATTTAATCTGAGATCGCCTAGGTTATCCTATTGTTGGTATTTTGACTGAAATTTCGTTCAGTCTTGGCGTAAAGGCATCCTGTGCGGATTGACTTCAATAGTCATTATGACACAGGTTGATATAGAACAGATGGATGCCCACCAATACTGACTAAATTTCATTCAAAATATCAATAATGGGATATTCCAATCCATTTTAAATATAATTTGATCCTATAGGAAGTACTTTTATATTTTTGTTGTATAGTTATTAAAATTTTCTCAGTTATTTTTATATTCCCCATATTGTATGACTTCGGTTGATGCATAAATTGTTGTTAAATGTCTTACTTTCCTACAGTAAATAAAAATGGTAGCAATAAATAGAATGTATGAACTAGTAATTCACAGATCTGTTCAATACACACTTTAGTGGTCGTAAATGGACCAGCACTTAAGTAAGATAGAGTACGGTGATAGCAGTTTATGGTATCATATTGTAATTTTAATTCAGAGGTCAATAATATATACAGCAATGATTATTAAACACAAACATCACACTTCCCTAAGTTAGTATTCATTAATTACAAACCCATAACTTAATTTCCCTTCACTTCTGGCATAGTCATTCACACATTATAATTGCCGTGTCCAGGTGTATGATGTATAATTTCATGGGTTTTGAGTCATTATGTATAACAAAAGTTATATTTGCTTTCTAAGTTCGAATTAAAGGAAAGCTGCATCAAAGATCAATCGGAATAAAAATTTATCACGGGTGTTGCATAAGAATAATTAATTGTTGTTGGTCCAGACGTGTCATCGGTCACAGTAAACCTCAGTAGTTTCATGAGAGTAAAGTGTATTCAAACCAAAGGACCGTATCTAGTGGTTATTTTAAAGAAAATGTAAAAAGACTCATCGTTATAATAAAAATATTAGCGTAAAGCAGATTAAGAACAAGCCAAACTTATTAAGACTTATGTTATCTGTTGCATTTTTAACAAAAACATAAACCAATAAAACTACTTACCATCTTGTTGTATAATTTGTTGAAGTATTTCACTAACTAAATTCCTTAAAGCTCGTTTCTTTGGTAAACCTAAACGATGCGGAAATACAATAGAAGTATCGACAATTTTCTTATGTATCAATTTAAGAGCAGTTAAATCACTTTCTAAACTATGACCAATTAATATTGTATCCGAATCGAATAAATGCAATAATTTTGCTTGAATATCAGTAATATGATATTTTGCCTGTTCTATATCTTCTAATTTTAAACCAGAAAAACGTGAATTACAATCAATAATTGGATTGTCTGGACAAACAAATTCATCGAGAATAACTTCAAGTTTTGAATTGATAATAGTAATTCTAGCTAGTTCACAACCACCAGTTGTATAGACCATTTCACAATCAAGAGCGTACACATTACAACCTGAATTATTGTCATTATCTTCATCATATTCTTGTGATTTTGGAAGTGGTGGCAATGTAATTACAAAACCTTCATTATCTAACCATTTATTAGCATCGTGTACATGACCTTTAGGACAGATTTGACAGCCTGGTTGGCCAATATCACCATTACAACATAAATATCGTAAATCAAATCCTTGACCAAAACCTGTAAGGAGAAAAAAATCAGTGAAGTCATATACACGCAAAACACGAACATGTATGAGAAGTGAAGTAAGGTAAAGTGATTCTATTTACCTAGTAAAAGCTTATACACTGGACTTTGAGTCATAATTATCTATGATAATAAATATCATGATCCCTTTGACTGTCTAGACTATAAGTAGGCGTGGAAGGATTAAAACTTGAAATTCAGTGGTTGAACATCAGTAATTTTAGCCAATAAACCGCCATCTTATTAGAAATGAAGTGATATATATTAGATCCATAGTGACAATCATAAACATCAATAAAATGTATATTTAACATCACTACAGTATACCGTTAATTGAAGATAAAACTATCAGAAGTAATCACAAAATAAATGCACAAATTGTGCTGGTAAACATTAAACAGCTGAATAAATTTAAGATACTTTTCAATCAACTGTAATTGATGTGTTGAAATAACTAAAAATGACTAAATGTTGCTAGTTACTTGGCTGAAATTGATATTTCATAAGGAAATTTTTTTATCATAGACTTTCATTTGACCTATTGGCTTCTATTATACGATTCACTATTTCTAATGTATTCCTAATCTATTAGTTACAGTGTCTCACATTGACAGTCACTTTCCGCTTGATCTAATACAACTGTTATTTCTCATTTTGTAGTTAGATATAGTCTGGTCTGCCTGTATAGAAACTACGTATGTCTGAAATATATGGAGGCTGAGATTGGGTTCTGGACTAAACGTCCAGGTTTAGGCGAGAAGCTAATATGTCAAGGCTTCTAGTGCCGGTTGACGTGTCATTGGTTTCTTACAGAGACAAGGTCATAGAAGCCGATATTCTGATTGATGGTTTTGTCGCGTGATATTTGGCAGCGGTATAGGATATAAGATTACCATTCGTTTCATCTTCTTCGGATACAACACTACTGATATGAAAACTGATACATTTGTTACTGCCCCAAATGCCCTGGTATGGCCGAGGGTGGGGAAAGTTAGCTCTCCCTCTCGAAATGCTCCCACATGGCCACGTGTATATAGTCACTGTCAGGGAAGTCCTACTTACTGCCTCCTCGCGGCAAGGGTGTTGTTTACGAAATTAAAAGGACAAAAATCGAATGTTCGGCGCTTTAACCGGGTTGGTGGATATGGAGAGTCCACCTAGGGGAGTTGGAAAACCCTGATTCCAAACCAATGGTGCGCACGGGCTCTAGGTTCCTGAGGGAACAATTGGCGTGTGAACCAATTATTGGTCACCGGCTACCATGGGACTGCACTTTCTGACGTTGCTTCACTACCTTGTGGATCAGACCTTTAGGTTAAGAACTCCGGGTGTGGCATCCAAGAAAACCACCTGCTTCGGTTTGGGCACCCGGGCAGTATCGCAACCCACTCACAACTCAAGTGACTTGTGTGGCGCATACGTATTCGGTACCCCTTTGTACCAATGTTTATGTGTTCAAATAAATATTTGTTACTTATCAATTAGGACAACACATATAAGTGACCAATATTCGTTTCAATCAGATCCTCATCAGGCTTTACTCTAATACACAGTAATATCTATATCTATATACGAAATTATTAAACCAATCAAGACAGGTTATCAGTCAGTGATAACGATGGAGCAGATTATGTAAATGAACATAATAAGTAAAATGTATAAATTGATAGTGTACACGTTGTAATGCAAAGCTTGAATCAATGTTCCATAATAGGAAGTAGGTCAACGATTTGAAAAAAGAGATACAGAAATAACATCCATTATAAATTATAAAATCAGATGGTAAGAAGTGTTCAGATAATTGGATAGTGCAACATACATTTGAAAAAAACAGGGTGAAGAAAATAAACCAAAAAAGTATGGGGAATAATAGTAATAATATATTTTATTAAAACTAATTCGGCCAAGGAAGATATTAGTATGTTACAAATATCCTATAAACACAAAAAAACTAGGGTTATTAGCTCGAATTTTTATGGCTGCCACTAATTGTAAGAAACGAGGTCAAAACCCATAATCTACAATTCAACGGAGATGCAGCTAGTGACCTACCACGAGACTGACTAAAGCAATGAAGAGGATGTTTATCACAACTAACTTCTGTATATCTAACGGATGGATAACCCCACACCTCTTTTATTTAAACACATGTCCTATTCCTTCCTATCAAACGTCCTCAAATTTTAACTTATAAGCTATTATTGTTAACATAATAATCACGGTGTAACATTTGTCCAAGATATTTAAATAATTTATTTTAGTGATTATAGTTTACCACTTTAAAATAGTGATCGACTTTGATCGTCTTCAATACACAGGCAACTGAAGAAGGCAGGATTGCTAACACAATGTAACTCGACAAAACATATCTTGGTTATTAACCGCTTTTTCTCTCAACTCCATACATATCTACAGAAAATCTGCCTCGAACAACGCTTTTATTTCCAGTAGCAATATTAGTCATGATAACTTATTGCTTAGAAATGACAAGCTTACCAACTACAACCGAACTATAGGTGCTAGTTTAGGTGGAGGGGGGTGGTTTGTTAAAAATGTAGTATTTGAAAGAGATTTGTATATAATGTACGAAGTAAGGTTTTAATTTCCGTAACTGGTTTCGATATTTTAATGTTTTAAAAAGTGTTAAGGAACCTCATGAACTTTTTTAGAACCTCTTTCATAACTGTAAAGGAAACTAGAATCAATAATCGTTAAATTGACACTTGCACTCAAAACTTGTTCATAGATGTCAAATATTTATATTAAGGATAATAATGATGAAAAAATTGCATAGCTTTTAACAGTTTCACAAAAATCTGTTTGCATTTTAAGTTGATAGGGTAGAAAACTACATCAAATTATTTTATGCCACACTATTAATCAAATGATCATCAGGTGTCAATCAAATGATACGTATCAAATTATTACAGGTTGACAAAAGAAAATGGAACCAAACTATGAAAAAAAATACACTTAATTACAGAATATACATATTTAATTAAACATTTCGATGGTAAATAATCTATATGTTCCCGCCGAAAGCAAAGAATGAATACTTAACGAGACTAAATATAACACTATTTAACTGAGAGAACTAAACTGAGTCTAATTTGGCTAAATAGTAAAACAATGCTATACGTATACAGTATACCACGGTCAAATGAAAATAATAAGTAATAGATCTAGGTATGGTTTATGGGAATTTATCAAAAAATTCATTTAGAACCTTGGAGATTCTCATATTTTCTCCGTCAGTTGAGGCCTCGACGATTAAATGGGAAAGGAGAGAGGACAACACATTGACACCATTAATTGAAAAACTGAATAGACTTTAAACCACATTTCCTGGAATTACTAATATTGCAACATCAGTGGGTACTGTAGCTAAATGACAAACATGAGTACATATATTTTTGATAATCACATTGCGAACTGTTCGATTAGCATTTCTGCATCCAATATAAATATTTAGTGACTGATCATATAATTAGACTATGAAATATGAAACACGATATAAAAAGAAGAACAGTGAAATAATGAAACGATTCCTGGTTCTATCTATTTCTCAAACTTAAAATTGGATGTACAGTAATATAAACAGAATGAAGAAATTTAATTTTAATTGAAAAAGAAAAGTGCCAAAACTTCCAGACTATTTTATTAGTCACATACATTTACTACCAGTTGATTTGGAGTTATCTCAAAACAGATCACACAATGTAATTATGGGTTTTAACATTTCAAATCCCCAATGACTAGTTTAGATATATAAAATAACAAACTGAAACCATGCTTATATTTTAGTTACCGAAGTAAGCTATTAAGATAATAATTGTTTATGAATTGTAATTTCTAATTGCTTCAAAATGCAGATCGATATAATACACAAACTTCAGCAAGCAAGTAGAGAATTCGGCAAAACGGTCAAGTTATACTACCAATGATAACATAATTCAAACATACGTAACTACTCAGTCAGTCAGTCAGCTGCAACGTAGGACCAGGCACGTATATGCATCGGTTTTTATTTATTTATTTAAACACATAAATATTGGTACAAGTGGGCACCAAATATATATGCGCCACACAAAACAATGATAATTTGAAGAGGAGAGAAAAAAAAAGTAATGAACGTGGGGAATTATAAAAAAAAGAGAGAGAGAACAATAATGGGGAAAACGGAAAGGTACAATCCGAAGAAATCTTTCAGGTTAGGAAGAAGCAACCACTTTTTATGAAGAAAGTAAAAGAAGGTTACAGCAGGATCGCCATTGTCTTCTATTCTGAGCCATATCTGATAACGTCTCTAGCCACTGTGTTACACCATCTCTCGGACCCCAGCCAGGGAGTCGTGAAGGACCAACAGAAGCTAGCCCATATGCATCGGTCCAAGTTGCCATACCGCATCAGCACAACAAGATCAACACCGGATTCATAGAAGTAGTTAATACAGTGGTGGTAATATATAGAAGAAAGATTGTGTATAAGCAGATAGTACAAGAAGAAAGAATTAGTTGGTAGAAAAAGATTTGAAGTGATTTCAATCTCTTAGTTTAAAGGAAGACAGAGAGTGTATACACCGACGCCATTGTGATCGATTCTGAGCCATGTCACCAAAAGTCTCCAACCATTGGTTACGATAGTCACGCGAACCCCAACCAGGCACTCTGCATCTACCAACATGGCTCAGACCAGAAGTTAGTGACTTCAAGCACTGATGCCACGTTTTGGTTTGGCCGCCTCTAACTTTCTTCCAATCAACCCTAACACCGGTTAGCATTGCGCGTCGTGGTAATCGGTGTTCAGGCATACGCAGCACGTGGCCCAACCATCTCAGTCGATGAAGGTTCATAACCTCATCAACTGATTTTCCATCATTCCCTAATACTCTGCGTCTAACCTCACTGTTACTTACCCGGTGATCCCAGCACATACCCGCAATATTTTTAAGGCACTTGTGGTCAAATACTAGTAACTTACGAGTATCTTCTACTCTTAAGGGCCATGTTTCACAGCCGTATAGTAGAACGGAACGAACTGCCGCGCAGTATACTCGTCCCTTAATTGATAGACGGATATCTCGCCTTTACCGTAAGTGACGTAAGTTGGCAAAGGCCAAGCGAGCTTTTCTAATCCGTGCTGAGATTTAGTCACACACCAACCCATTAGGGCTGATCAGACTCCCAAGATAAGTGAAGTTGTCGACGCGTTCGACTACTTCACCCCCTATCCTCAGTTCAGGTGTTGACGCAGACCAGTCCTGAAGCAACAACTTGCATTTGGAGGGAGAGAAGCGCATCCCAAACATTCTGGCATTGTTGCTCAGTGCTACCAAAAGACTCTGCATTTCATCAGCGTCTTCACCAAACAGGACTATGTCATCTGCGTATTCTAAGTCAATAAGTGAACCTCCTGGTAGGAGATCAATACCCGAAAATTCAGTCGATGAGAGCGTTATTTCCATCAGTAGATCTATGATGAAGTTGAACAAAAATGGAGAAAGTGGACAGCCTTGGCGGACGCCACTTGAGGTTGCGAAAGCAGATGACAGTTCGCCATAAGCTCTCACTCGACTAGTAGTGTTCGAGTAAAGAGCCTTCACAAGGTTTATGTACTTCTGAGGTACGCCTTTCAATGACAGACACTGCCACAGAACCTCTCGGTCAACAGAGTCAAACGCTGCTTTTAAGTCAAGGAAGACCACCATTGTCGGACGCCGATAAGTATGACTGTGTTCTAGAATCTGACGAATAGTGAATATGTGGTCGATGCAGTCACGACCAGGTCTGAAGCCAGCCTGATTTTCACGTGTTTGCAGTTCACGAGTCTTAGTTAGGCGTCCGAAAACTATCGAGGCTAGTATTTTAGATACTATATTGGTCAAACTAATCCCTCTGTGGTTGTCACAGGATGATTTTGACCCTTTCTTATATATTGGGACGATAAGTGATTGTGACCAGTTAGATGGGATGACGTCTAACTCCCAGATTTTAGCTAAAATATTAGTCAACCTAGTCGCTAAAATTAGACCACCATCTTTAAAGACCTCTGGGGCCAATCCATCTGGACCAGTTGCCCTTCCTTGTTTTAGATCAACTATAGCCTTTTGAACTTCAGCTAGAGTTGGAGGACCTACTTCAATGTTCCATTCACACTGTCTGGAAATGGAGGGTAGTTGTAGAGTAGCTGAAGGCCAGCTAAACTGCTCCTTCAAGTGTTCCGCCCATCGTTCGAAGAGTCTGGACTGGGAGTAGATGAGAATGTCGTCTTTTTCCGAAATAGTCTGACTTACACTTGACTTATTAGTTCCAGTTTGTTTTATTAGTCTGTAGAGTTGTCTTGTTTTCGCTATAGCCGCCGCCTTTTCCATCTCTTTTGCTTTCGTTGCCCACCACTGCTCACGATCATTTCTTAGACTTTTGCTTAACCTAGATCTGATTTCTTTACGCTCTTTATCGTGTTCAGAACCTGATAGGATGAGTTTGCGAGAATCCATCAGTGCAATAGACCTTGAAGAAATCCATTGGTTCTTTGTAATCCTGTGGTACGTAGTACGTAACTACTACACACAGACTTAGGATGTATTTATTGAATTAGTGATAAATAAATACTACTTATTTGTTTAGTTCAAAGAAAATAGAGTTGAAGTGATTCCTCCAATACTCGGAAATTTATTAACAATGGATAAGTAATACCAGGTTAGAACATGAAACCGAACTCCAAACTAAACAGTTAGAAACTGATATATCTTTTGAATATATATATATATATATATATATATATATATATATATATATATATATATATATATCGTTAGCTACTTACTTCGTTGTTTCACAGCTTTTCCCCAATGGTAAATGCATTCGCCCTGAGTTAGAGAGTATCCATATTCATCAACAAGAAATCGTGTACCACAACGACAACATACTCGTTCGTTAGCTATCGAATAAAAGCGACGTTTTATGATTATTTAAAACTACTGAGAATTGGTAGAAAAAAATGGAAACAATTTGTTCAAAAAACATCTTTCATAAAATTTAGCAAAAATACATTTTATATAGTATACTTCAGATTGTATGGTGATCATCTTTAAAAGATTTTGAATACGCAAGCAATTTTTTAATATTTAAAACTAATTTTTATAGGCGAATTAGTTAATTATTTAAAACCTTATTCGAAACAAGTTGACTGATAAGCAAGATTGTAATATGAGAGGTTAAATGATACAATAAGTTTCGGTACATGATTCAGTGTATAATAATTTAAACAGCCATTACATTCATCTGAACACATCGTTTGGTGAACTTCACTGTGTTCATTTATTCATTTCACCATCAAATCAATGTGTTAATCTTTCTCAAGTATCGCTAAAATTGCTGCTAATCAATGAAACATTGAATAATTCCATAAATATATCGAATACAAACACAAAGTAGTTCGAATTCTTGAATGTATATAACTAGTAACAGATATTCAGTAAGGGGTTGTGGAGATTGTTGAATTTCATCGAAACCATAAACTGATCTAAACTACACCACCATTGAAAACCTGGAAGCAGTGGAAGGCCATTTCGTCCTAGTATGTGATTCTACAGAAGTGAGTACCCACGATCCAACTCACGGAATTTAAACCCAGGACCCTCGGTTTTGCGCGCAAACGCTTAACTTCTGGACCAAGTTCATATCTCTAAGAAAGTATTATTTCGCCTAACATTTGAGATACATGTTAATGATAACCAACTACTACAAAAAACCTAAATTAAACTTTGTATTGATCCTATCTAATCATCTAACATCAAGGCAAAGCGTGCCGGAATTATTAGGTCATTTAGCTTGATTCCCATAGTGTAAACAAAGACGATAGAATCTAATCATTACTCAAGATTAGACAAGATACTGACTGGTTACACTGACTAACTAATATACCGATGATCAGTATGCTCAACAGACAAGTCATATTCAATTAATTATGACAGTTTCAATTAAAATCTAGTTAAATACACTCATATCCTTGCAATAATATTAATGTAGTAAACAACTTGAATACGTGCAACATGATATGTTTTGAAAAAAACAATAATGATTTATCAAACTCAAAATAATGTAATATTGATTAAGATTATTCTGTAGAGCTTGAATGGATATAGATTAAAATGATATCAGAGAAAAAAGTAATATGCATGTACTACAATATTTTAAAAAGTTAACTCGGAACCATACAATGAAGAATGTACAACAAAAAATACAGTAATATCCTTTCTTTTAAAAAAAAATAGTTGAATCATATGCATTAAACCACATAGACAATGTTTAAAAATTGAATATTAAGTTAACCATCTAAATAATAATTGTAACTCACAATATGTTAACTAACTTACATTGACAATTACCATATAACTGATGCTTATTTTCTGGTAAACACAGAGCAGCCTTCCCACGAATAATTGTGTCATTTTCAACTAATTCGAGAGGATAACCATTTGCTAACAAATCTTCCTCCGATAATAAATAAGATGTTAATTGACTATACAGAAGAGGTCCTTTAAAAAAGAAAAGTTACTTTTTCAAACAAGAAGAAGAAAGTAAACAAGATCACAAACTACTCATGAAAAAGGAAAGAATTTTAAAGGTATGGAAATTTATAAGTGGGAAAAGTATACAGACAGTGCTTAGTATTACTTACATTACCGTTGAGAAAACACTCATTCACCAAGTACTTGGGTAGGAATGACATTCTAAGTGTGGGCTAATAGTACCACCTAGTGGCTCAAACCGAAGTAGGTGAGCTGGGGTTTAAACCTGGGATTTAGTTGCTGGTTCGAACCTCGACTCCGCCTACAGTTTGGACAAGTAGGTAGTATAATTGGCCTTCACACTAAGTGTCGCTCATACAAGTACTTGGTGGATGGGCTAGTGGTATTATTATTGTTATTATTATTATCATTATCATTAGTATTACTATTATTACTAATAAAACAAGTAACATTTATAGCATAAAAATCTTGATACAGAAAAGCAACAAAAAAAACTGATTTGGAACTACAAAAAATGTGGTTATACGTCTTCAACATGCATAAAGCTTCCATGATGTTAGTAAACGGTTTATTTTATTTTAACACATAGATATTGATACAAGAAGGCACCAAATACATATGTGCCACACAGATCTCATTTGATATGTGTGAGGGCTGTGATACTGCCAGGGTGCCCAAACCGAAGCAGGTGGTTTTCTTAAGAGGCCACACCCCGAGCCTTCGACCTGAAGATCTGATCCACAAGGCAGTGGAGCATCGTAAGGAGATGCAGTCCCACGGTAGCCGGTGACCAACGATTGCTTCATACACCATTTGCTCCTTTAGGATACTGGAGCCCATGTGCACCATTGGTTTGGAATCGGGTTAAAGCGCCGGACATTCGCTTTTCGTCCTCTAGATTTCGTAAACAACACCCTCGCCACGTGAAGGCACTGATTAGGACTTCCCTGACAGAGACTATATACGCGTGGCCATGTGAGAGCATTTCGAGAGGAAGAGTGGACTCTCCACACTCTCGGCCGTACCAGGGCATTTTTAATACAGCCCAAGACCACAATACTTTTTAATAGATCAAAGGCCGTTCTACATATACATAGCGATTGTTGTAAATACCCATTTTTAATCAATTATCTCGCACATTTATTTGACAACAATGATCACGTTTGTAACATTCTAAATGTACTCTACAAGTAACAAATGGGAAATGTTGTCATCAGAGACAATAATAAAGAAGGGATGTTAGTATCGATGAGTCAATTTACATCAGGAACCAAGTGAAGGTTACACATCCCTCTAATGCATGTGGGCCTGACGTAGGCAAAACACACGAGGCAGGGTTCAAGCCTGTAATACAGCAATTACAAGTTGCGTATTTTGACCATATTTTTAAGTAGCCCAATTCAAGTCAAACTGTGTAGTGGCTAGTAATAAAACTTGGCTACATAAAATAAAGTATGTAGAGCGATGTTTGGACCTACGATCTATTTTTAGAAACCCGAGCGCTTTAATCCCCAAGCCAACGCTTTACTTTTAATGTGAAAATCTATACACCTGAATGATTATTAGTTCTATATATATGAGCTGCAATTATCTAGATAAGCTTATGAACTTGCCTATTATATAAACATTTTTGAGAGCAAAATGTACTGATTTGCCAGGCAACCTACATTAACTTAATATGGTGTTCAATTCATTTTTTATCACTTAGTACCTAAACAATAGATCAAGTATAAAAAACCAGTAGAATGTTTATGAGTCACAATTATTATAAATCAAGTTTTGAACACGATAAATAATAAATAGTAGATGATCAACTAATTTTTATATCAAAGTGACCAATGATAAATGTGTAGGTGAGTTGTGCATTAAATCTCAGTTAAATGTACATTTAGAATGTAAACTATAAAAAAAAAATTAATATATCAATAATTAAGCTCAAGTTTAGCTTAAATTAAAAAATAATCATTCAACAACTAGTGATGAAATGTCCAATATTTATCGAAAGGGACGAGAAACAATACTAAAATACATAACTGACAATTTTTATAGTCGAAATGAATTAAAGGAACAGAATTAATATCGAGTAAAGAATAAATTACCTTTAACTAAACGGTCAAGTTTTTCCTCAGCATCATCTTTTTTAGTATTATTATTATTATTAATATTTGAATCATAAGCAGATAAATGTGAGCTAGTGATTGCAGGACGTGTAACTACCGTCAGACTGGATGAAATTTTCGATTTCTCACCTAATTGTATGGACTTTTTTTCTGCTTTCAAACATTTTAGCCGTTGGATTACAGCATTTAAATATGCCATTCGACTACCTGCTTTGTCATGACAAGCTTGTTCATCTTCAAGAGCCTAAACAACATCAATAATAATAACAATATTGACATTTGATTTAAAATATACTTCGATGAAAACTAAACAGCTAACCATCGTGATAACTCTAGATTTTCTAGCATACTAGCAAATTATACAAAATAAGAGCTATTTGTTAAGATGTCATGCGTTATTCACCAATGAATGTTGGATATCATGGTAAAGAACATATAAGACGTACGTAGTGTATTCTACTTATGTCTGTCGACATAAGTAGTGCGTAACCAATCAGAAGATGAATGCTTGTCAAAAGAATGCTGAGAAGATTGTACTGGAGAAGACATAAAGGAATTGTGGATCGGAAGTAGGTATCATTACCAAGTTTTTATTTGATAATTTCGAATAAATTGAGCATTGGGTAGATTGTTATAAATAAATAATATATTTGTAATATTCCAATGAGTAGAAAAATTAGATTTTCTGACGTTTCGTGACTGAGTGTAAGCCACTTCTTCAGAGAATAAATAACCAAATTAAAATTAATCCAAGTTTAAATAGTACAACGGAACAATTGTTGTACTCAGTCACGAAACGTCAGGAAATCTAATTTTTCTACTCATTGGGATATTACAAATATATTCTTTATTTATGTGCATTGGAAGATTCATAAATGATGTATAGGACAATTGATGGAAGATTTGCACATGAAGCATTTAGTGTATAGTTTTCACATTTTAAGAAAGAGCTCTGTAATTTTGCACTAAACAATAAATTGGTTGTCCCCACCTAAGTTCGAGTTCACTACAAATACATTGAAGACTGCATACAGTCAAATTAAAATGTTGCTGTATTATTGAGGGTAAAGTTTAAATGATTAAAATAAATTTGTCAATGTACCTAACTCATCTACCACCTAAACAAATTTTTCAACATAAACTTTAATTTTTAAAACTAATAATTCATGTATTAATTAACAAGAGTTAGTGAAAACCTTGAAAATAGATTAGATATGATTTTTTGAGTATTATGACAAATTACAATCGATGTAGCATCAAAAGTAATTAAGATACTTACGAGGGGAAAAATCATACTAACTGCCACTGTAGTGAACGAACACTCAAGTGGGGAAACCAATTTATTGTTTAATGCTTAGTTACAGAGTGCTTACGTAAAATATGAAAACCATACATTAAATACATAGTTTGCACATCTATCAGTTGTCCCTTACGTGCTTCATGATTCTTCCAGTTCTGTTGTTATTACAATTACTTTCTGTTTTCTTCAATTGAATCTACACAATCTTCTGCTGGCATACATTCCACTTCCGATTGGTGCTACATACTACTCATATCTGTCAACATAAGTAACATACACCACACTACTATCGTTACTCAGTCGAAGTAGAAATAACAATCATATTTCTTAATCATCTACAAATAAATACATTTAGGGTATATCGTACTGTATGTTTATGAAGAATATATACACCAAATTCCATTTGAATATTTACTGGGCTTGTTCACCGATTGAAAATAATAAGAAGTACAGTAATATTGGTTTTATTAAATGCTATAAATTTGATACAATATCAAATTCTGGGCATAGTAAAGAGATGGCTTAAAAACTTTTTGATTGATAAAAGCTATGTATTTGAGCGAGCTGGATTACTAATTTTTAGCACGCTGGGGTGCCATAGCGAGCTGACACGTGATCAGAGCATTCGTGATGACTATAGTAAAACAATAGCTTACTGCGATAATTTAAATCCGATTTCATACACAATGAAGCACATAAGTATAAAAAAAGAGAATAACAGAAGTAAAACAAAGAGTAAAGAGCGTTTGTATATTCAGTAGGTTTATAATTAGTTATCAATGTTTAAACTGACATATACCTGTAACCTATCACTTATTTGATAGTTGTTGCAAAAGAAAAGGCATAGGTTGTTGTATAATGACAGTTGAAATTTTATAATCCGATACAAAGATAAAATAATATAGTCAAATATCATTAATGTTACAACTGTGAGAGTGAAAGGTTCAGAATTTAATCAAAAAGTGTAGTGGTGTCTAAGGGGAAGTTATAAATATTTAATCTTGGGACTTCATAGCACACATAGGTAAGCAAACTAAATAAAAGAATGAAAATAGATCTGAGTAACCATAATAATACAGGTATTACAACGAAGGGTAATTATTAGGGCATAACAGTCAAATCGGAGGATATAACTAACAGCGGTACGTTAAATGATCAAACTTAAAGAATATTGCATAACTAAAAAACCTAATGAAAATGTAAACCTGTTAGCAACAAACAATCGTACGCAGTTTTTAAGGTAAGTTAAACCTACACGCTTGTATGCATCAGAGGGATGGTCATATATTAAAAGGCACTCTTCAATAAATTGATCCAAATAGCGAGTTCTAATTGGCATAGGAATCTTATCACTCTTGCGTAGTGGAATACAAGGTCTTGCAACATATTCATGTTGTACATTTCCTGAAGCAATAACCTAACGTTTGAAGACAATTCGGTAGAAAACATAAAGGCATAAGATGTTAGACAGTATATAAAACATGAGGTCAAATGAGTTCGTTTTCAGTTGAAAATATGAATCTTTACTAATGTTTGAATATCTACTTTAGCTTAAAAAAGCTTATTTATAAACAATCACAAACTACATCTCTAATAACAACAGTTTACAATAATGTACATGATTGTTGACTAAGTTATACGTTTTTTGTATAAAGATTAAATACACTTGAGTCACTCAATTTATAGTATTCGGAGCAGCAGGTCCCATGACTGAAAGTCGAGTGCCCACACCATTGAGCCATATTTATGTAAATCATCACGTTACACTTAACCGCGTTAAATCATCCCCAATAACCATCTAACAGTTAAGATAATCTTCACACTACGCTGGCTATTTATAAGGAGACTTTCTGTTTCGAAAACAAACTATATGAGATTTCTAAGGTAGCAAAGTAAATTTAACAGATAAAAATATTCAATTAAATTTATTTTCACGGTAGACTAGTAGTTAATAATCAATTATTGGGTAATAGGTTTGGACCACATTTTTATACAACTCAGTTTGAACAACCACGTAACATCACCAGCCCGTACATAGTATGGCTTGAAATTAAGTAGTACGCGAATCTGCATTTAGTAAACGAATTATAATTAACATAATTTGATTATCACAAAAATACACTCAGAAGTAAACGACTATATACTGACTCTAGAAATGCGGGGAATCTGTTTACCAACATGAAATCAATGTACTTAACACAGACTAAGTATTTATAGATCATTTACGTGATCTGTGGTAACCGATATTCTATAACTTTTTCGGAAATTCCACCTGCAGTTACACGATATTTATAACTGAAATCACGTTTATTGTAAACAAACTGTTCCAGAAATATTCAACCTGAACCTATGATATCTGAGCGCCTGTAGTTCACTGGCATCGTAAGTAGTCGGGAAAAATCATTGGCCACCTGTTACAGTGAAGAAAGCGACTAGTGACGTCTAGTAAGTGTAAAAAAGCTTGGTCTAATAATTTCAGCATCGAAAATCGTGAAAATTCAACTATATGGATGGTGGCTGACAGTAGAATCCAGGACGCACGTTTCGTCCTATTTTGAACTCGTTAGCTGGATGTATCTGGACCTCAGAGCTGATGCTCACATTGTGACTCGAATCCAATAACTTTTACCTCAAACACCATCTCATCATCCACTTGGTTACTGAGTCCAGGTAGCCATTGGCTTGTGCGAGAAAAATCGTTTTACCTGTCAGCAAGAAAGAGCACGTATTAACCGTTATCACAGAAGCTCGTATTATGAGCAAATAGTAGAAAAACATTAAGACGATCTAACTTAGCTAATACTGTATTAGTAAATTTACAGAAGTCATAAATGCTGAAAAAACGTTACAATAAACAACATATAAAAGGATTTGTAGACAAATACTTTAGACTTACATTATCGCTCTTCTTATCTGTACTTGTCGTATCAGGCTTTGTAAAAACTGGACTCATGTGTGGTGGAATAAGCGTAGCAGACTTTGAAGCGTTCTTAGAAAGACTGTTTTTGTCTACCGAGCTATCGTTATCAATATCACCATATAAGTCTTGATAAAGTGATAGGATTTTTTGACGTTTAGAAAGTGTGCAACTGCTGTCATCATTATCCTTGTCTGCACTATCCACAGACTTTTCGTCACTAGTCTTTATGATATCTTGTTCATTAGGAATGGTTATTTCTTTGTTTTTGAAAACCTTTACTCTACGCTTTGATTTTTCACTATGTATAAGTGATCCATGAGTTTTCAGCTTATCATTTCGTGAATTTTGGACACCTTTAACCACAGAGACAGTTCGTAAGTCACCAGGATTATCCTGGGCAACAGTCGGAGGAGTATCCTCATCCGAGTCTACGTTAATGTTAATAACTTCTTTAGCATACGAAGAGGCAGATGATTCTGTAACTGAAGAAGGCTGATATAAAAATGGAGAAGGCGAAGGTATTGTTTTTATTTTGACCACAGGAGAATATGATGGTTGATCTTGTGGTATAAATCCCTTAGAAAATCCATAATCCGACAACGAATTAGGTGCATATTTTTCCAATTCACTTATTGGAGTTGGTTGATAAACAGGAATGGGTTCTCCATAAACATTTTGCACACAAGTGGCATTCTTATTATACTCAATATCAAAGTAGTTTTGTGAATTTTCAGTACGTTTTTCCAAAACACTGATAGGGGTCGGTTTATATACAGGATCAACAGAGGGCTTACACTGTTTCTAACACATTAAAGCTTAGATAACAAACTAATTACCGTTATGGATAGTATATTTTCCTCAGGAACATCTGTAAAGAGGAAAAAAGTATAAACCAAGTCATTATTAAGAAAAATAGTAATCAGAATATTTAAAAATAAACGATAAATTTTACTGACTTGCTCTTGGTCCGAACTCCATGTGACTCGATAAATCCCAATATATATTGAATAAAACTAGGTTGTGATTAGTATCCAGCTTTCTCTTGATTGTTTTGTCACAACAAATATCCATGATATTATGTACCAGACACTTCACTAGGCTCTTTTTAATACCAAAGATGTCAAGAATTTTAAAACGGGTATACAGGTTAACTAATGTACGCTTTATATGCACACTTCCTCTTAATGTTTCTCCTAATCTCCTTGTTAATAAATTGTTTAAAGATAAGACAATATTATATTTTCGTATGAAGTAAACGTCATAAATGAGTGAAGGTTTTCAAATCCTATTATACTCTAACTTATTATTGAGGGCAGTGAAGACGTTATCTATAGGGAAAGATTAAAGCGTAAGCTGCTTAATATTGTCGTTCAGTGGACCATTTTTCAGTTTCTCTAGACGTATGTGATAAATAGACACAAATTTATGGTGACCTACGTTCCCATACCTAATTAGCACGATCAGATGAAAACAACTAAAGAGATCGAAATAATTTAGTTGCAACAATGATGAGAAAGATTGAACATTGAGGATATGGTTCGAAAAGACAGTATGTAAAATTGCATACAAACGAATGCTGGGATTTAAGATCGAGAGGAAGATTAAGAGTGAATACATCTGGACCGTTGTGAACAATCTCAAGCCATATCACACAAAGCTCCCGATTGCTGATCGCAGTTACCGCACAAAACACAATCAGATAGTCTGCACCCACCAAAATGTCCCAGACCAACAGTCCACAGCTTCATGGACTGATTTATTTATTTTATTTATTTAAATAAATGGACTGATGCTACGTTTAGATTTGCCCTAACCCCTAGCTTTCTTTCAGCCTACTCCTAAACCAGACGTCCCGTGGCGAGGTAGATGGTGGATGTGGATACCCAACATGTGTTTCCATTATCTCAATCGGTGAATGTTTACAATCTCATCAACTGAATTACCATCTTCATCTAGTGCTCAACACCTAACCTCAGCATTGGTCAGTCCGTTGTCCAACGAAACATATGAAATGCTTTGAAGACATTTAGGATCAAAAGTTTTCAGCCTACGCATCCCTTCTACTTTCATAAACCATGTTTACGCCCTAAAGTAGCAAAGAGTGAGCTGCTGCTTAATATACAAGCCATTTGGTTTGGTGACAGATATTTCGCCTACGCCACAAGCGACGCGAATCGGCAAACGCTAATAGGGTTCTCTGAACCCGTGTACCAATCCGCCGAAATTGATGGAGTTTCCAAGATAAGTAAAGCAAACTTAGTGATAATTCCTTCGCAGTACCCGTTTGTTTGTAAGGTTTTCTGAGTTGAGAATATATTCATTGTACAACTGACGATTAACTCGTCAATGCGGAAACAGGACGTATGGTTTTCATATTTCTTTCAACAAGTTCATTCCACATTAAATCCGCTGTCTCTGGTGGGAAATGAATTATCAAGAAACTAGTATTCCCAAAGAATAACTTTTGCAGTAGTAATAATCATTTAAGAGCAGTTTCACTCTCTCCGAGTTGAGGATGTTAGATGACTCTCAGAGTTTGATTATCGTTATCTCTGAAGGATTGCTGGCATCCAGTGGCAACACCATGTCATTAATGCAGAGGTTCGGCATCGTGTGTTCGGGCATAGAGACAATAATTCAATTGGTGTCACCAACTTGAAACATCGACTTCGGTGGCTTGGACATGTCCTACGAATGTCGTCCCGGAGAATTCCGCATCGTGCATTATTTTCCGACGATGGGACTGGTTGGAAAAAGCGTAGAGATAGTGTCGTGGTATAAAAGAAGTCTGTACAGGACTGGCTTCTGTTGGTCCTTCACAACTCTTTGGTCGAGATCCTACAGATGGTGCAACACATTGAATAGAGATTTTATCATATATGGTTCAGAATAGAAGCCGGTGGCGATTCTGCTGTAGCTTTCTCTTACTTTCTTCATAAAAGGTGAGCATAACTTCTTTAACCGGAAGAATTTTTTCTGGTTGTGCCTTTACTAACTGAACTGCTTCTCCCATTATTATTATTTCACTATCATACACTAACTTCTGTGCGTTATTGTTCTTTTTAATACGCACTTTACATTCTCCATCTCTTCTCATTATCATTGTTACTGTGTGGTATATATGGATATTTGGTTTCCCATTTGTACCAATGTTTGTGTTCAGATAAAATAAAAGTATTTCTAGGAACAGATTTATCTATTTAAGTCGCTACATTCTCTAAAACTAAAACACCAAAAGACGTAAAATAGAATATCACAGAAGCATAACTTATGGTTTTGAGGACAGTAAGGCTAAGTCTAGTTGCAAACAGCATTTAACACCACTAACTTTCAAATTTCTTTTGCACTTCATTCATAATTTCATACTTGAAACTAACAGCTCAACCTTACCTTGGACGAATAATACAGTTAAATACGAGTCATAAATCCCTGAAGTACGTAAATAGACAGTTGTTTACCGTTTGGTTATATAACTTGATTGCTTCATTAAAAACATGCAACCTGATAATTCTGCTATACCCAGTAATTTAACCAAACAAATAACCGCAAAGAATACAAAATAATTTACCTCCAGTACATTAAGACCAGGTACATGACATGATAATGGAGAGTACAACCACTAAACCATAATTTACTTATTAACTCAATTAAGTGAAACTACTAAACATTTCAACTATTTGTGAATCTCTAATAGTCAAACATAGATCATAAATAAAGCATTGTGAAGTGTCAACCAGATTAGTTCAGTCCGATAGAGCTGAGTTTCAAAATGATCCAAAAGAAGATATCTGAGAGCTGCTTGTGTTTGATCATCGTGATTTCCGACAGATTACTAATACCCGATAGTAAGATAACGCGATAACCAGCAATATGTTTTGTATATGTTCATGATAAGGATTTAATAAATACATGTTTCAGGTCTCCTACGTACCCCCACGCTGCATACTAATTTTTGACACCAAACGAATGTTAAAAGTAAAGGTAAAGATGGTTTACAATATGACGATATATAATAAGGAACGGTTACATTGACTTAGTAGCCGTTGGTTCATTTCAATTGGATGAGTGGAGTCCTAAAAACTATGTAACCCTAACATGAAAAATAACGTTTCTAGATACACGTGCTCGGTTTTGAGAACTACTGATACCACCAGACTATACAAGACAAATTTGTTTATTTATATTAACATATAGATATTGGTACAAGAAGGCACCAAACACATATGTGCCACACAGATCTCATTTGATATGTGTGAGGGCTGTGATACTGCCAGGGTGCCCAAACCGAAGCAGGTGGTTTTCTTAAGAGGCTACACCCCGAGCCTTCGACCTGAAGATCTGATCCACAAGGCAGTGGAGCATCGTAAGGAGATGCAGTCCCACGGTAGCCGGTGACCAACGATTGCTTCATACACCATTTGCTCCTTTAGGATACTGGAGCCCATGTGCACCATTGGTTTGGAATCGGGTTAAAGCGCCGGACATTCGCTTTTCGTCCTCTAGATTTCGTAAACAACACCCTCGCCACGTGAAGGCACTGATTAGGACTTCCCTGACAGAGACTATATACGCGTGGCCATGTGAGAGCATTCCGAGAGGAAGAGTGGACTCTCCCCACTCTCGGCCGTACCAGGGCATTTGGGGGCCGTACAAGACAAAAAATGTGGGGTGAGATGCAAAGCTTCCATCTATCGGTTGATAGCTACGGGTTTTTACCATTGTCATCTTCACCATAATTAGACATGTTAAGAAACAAAACCTGGCACTATTCTGTTGCATTTCTCATTTTATTGCTCATTAACATTAAGATGTCTCTTAGGGCCAAGTAGAATTTATCTGGGTCGTGATTATTTAGTTTAATACATGCTATTCCAATTTCAGCACATAGTTTTCCGTCCCAAACATTTCTCCAGTTATCTTATACCTTGTATTGTATACATTAGTGAAACTGATCGTTCCATTGATTAAGGATGCCTCTTAGTATTCAATATTATGGAACTTTTTGTTAAATCTATATGGCTACGCTTTTAAGAGACGCTTGGTCAAAAGTCATTTGATTAAGGCCATACTCTTAAGTTTACAACTACCTTGCATGAATATTTGAATTAAATATATCAGCTGTGGTTCCAATATTTTACAGTTCATAATAGAAAGTTGATGAGTCATAAAAAAGACAGACACAAGTTCAAGGAATTTGTGGCAATATGTTTGCATGAAATTAGTTGTAACAAACCAGATTTTCAATAGTTGAAATCATGAGTCAATTCAAGCTAGACCACCATGGAAAACCTGGAAGTACTGGATGGCCATTTCGTCCTAGCATGGGGCTCCTCAGCAGTGCGCATCCACGATCCCGTCCCCAAAACTGATTGTCTTCCTGGATGTAAAATGTTCTACATCGTATATACTACTACTAGTGTATTTACACTAGATAAAATAGCAATTCGACTGATGAGACTGTTGGTCTGCAACAACTAAACTGGCTTGGATAATTAGCATGGACAACTAACCACTCCCAATCTATTTATTTTCCTTACATCCTCATTATCTACCTCACCCCTCTTCACTTGTTAGCCCTGTTTATTTGACGAGAGGTGCCCACATACGTGCAAATAAGTCGAATCATGCAAGAATGTTAGTAAATAAATTTTCGTGGCTCTGACATCATCCAAAATTACGCATAAATTAAATAGAAACAAAATGTTGTAATCTGTACTATAATAACTTCTAGGGAGATTACTGACTTTGCCCATCAAAGTGATTGAAATGGCAATATGGTCTATCGCAGTTCCCTTCACTGAAGGCTGGGCACAGCAATTCCTGAAAGAAACCTGAGGTTGGGAACATGTGTGTAAAACATGAAACACCGAAACAAATAAGTAGCAAAACAATCTGAATTTCCGCCTTGTTTCAACACTTCCAATATATCTTCCCAACACCCTTGTCATAAACTATTATAAACCGATCGACTTTTTGCGATCGCTTCTTGTCGCTTCGGTTCAGCTACAGGTATTTGGTTGTTTCCAATGGGTAGTAGACAAACTACTTGTTTTACTTAATTGGTAACGTGTAGCATGACGGAATTGAAAGTATTAAAAAAGAACAGAGTTGATGAATAGAAAGATTAGAAGTGCTTACTGGTTATGTAATAGCAATATCCATGATGATTTATGAGGCATGAATGAACACAAGAAGAGTTCTTTTGGAAAGTACCGCCACTGATTTCTATGATGAACCGGATTAGCCTCTATAAATTTATGGGAACTTTCACTTAGATTCAAACGAATAGCCTCACAGTAGCCGAATGACAATTTAATGTTAAACATTAGGGAGGAAAATCATATGTGTAACATTTTCAGTGGTTGAACTTCAAGCAAAGCCAACGTTTCACTCAACAATTGGTTTCAAGATTTTTCAGGGAAGTATGATGAAATAACAGCTGTCCTATGACAAATAATGATTATTAAGTAAACCTAGATCTTCCGTTGCATGTTATCTCAATCAATCTGTCACGTTTTATGTAGAAAAGAACTATTACTCTCAATCTTCTTTATCAGTTGGTTTATCTGAATAAACAATGAGAAATCAACTTTGTCAGCAAAATGACGAGCTTTCGTTTGTCTACATATCTTCATGCCATGACATGGTTGTTTTATTGAATCTAAAACATCATCTGATTTCATTATGTCACTCATCAGAGTTGATGTACAGTCGATGGAAATTTTTCACCTCAGATCCACTCATACATACGACAGTCGTCTGAACACATTTTTCCTCACTTTTCACATCGAATGTCTAACTATTTGTGAGCAGAAGGTTTGGCACGAAATTTGGTGCTGAGTGAATAATGTTATGTATAGTTCAGGTTTTCGTTGCTTTATAATTTATGTGAAGGGGGACAGTTTATAAATAAAGCCAGAAGTGAAAGATAATTTTGCTTCTTCAACTTTCCGAACCTTATGATACTTGGTACTGAGTAAAGTAATTAAATGAGGTGGTCTCACTACTTCTACTTACTTTTCAAGGTGTCGCTATTTTTCGTGCCATCTCTATTAGTTTATGGTTGAACTGTCCCGCTCTCTTTATTCTCGCGTTTTATGGGAATTAGTGTCGATGTGTTGAGCAGCACTAATTCAGGAGGTAACTTCTTCTCTGTTGTCTGTTCTTTCGATTTTGGCAGTCTCAAGAAACTTAGGAATGTTGATTAATTTTGTGGGGGATTATTATTCACAAACAGCTCGTGGGTACTTGAGTGTTGTGAAAAACCCATTTGTAGTTTCTTCAGAAAAGCAATAACACACAAGTTTCAATAAGGGTTGCCATATTTGAAAAATAGAAAATAGCAAAACTGATATTGATAATAGGATAATAATAATAATAATAGAATAATATTAATAAGTCAGGTTTTGTATGATTGAGTTAACTTTAAAGAAAGAATCGGGGAAATAAGGCAATAGAAATAATGGAGACGCGAAATACGTAAATAGTTTAACAAGAGTATTTGTGAACATAAAATAAGAATCAACGTCTATGTATATATCACTGAATGAATAACAAAAAAGACATTGAAAGTAAATAAATAAGAAAACAAGTTATTATTTGAGTAACTTGTGACGGTAGAATAAGTATTTGTGCAGTCGTACATTGGAGTGATACTATGAAAGTATCAATTAAGTGAATACGGTAACCAAATATCAATATGTATGAGTCATATAAACATAGTGAAGACAAAAGTGTCTGGGAAGTTAATTTAACTGAAACATAAGTTATTGTGTTAATTACAAACTTCGAAACCTTAAGAACAACATTTATTTAGAAGGAAAGGAGAGAAAAAATGAACAACAAGTGAAAACGTCCAACCATGATAATTAAAACGTAATGAATATCGACCTCTGAAGCAAACCATTAATTTTGTTAATTTATTATTGCACTCGGGTGAATACATGTAAAGTTGTTTGATAGGATTCAGAGTAAAACTTGGTATTAGTATAAACTCTTGTGCAACAATAATTTAGAATGATGCAATGAAATTCACAACGAATTGCAAAAAATAATCAAATACTAATTTCTATGTGTAATGTATATATGGTGAAGATAAAATGAATCTGAGTTGATATATCTAAGTGTAACATAAGATAATTTATTTTCGATCATATACTTTGGATGTTTAGGAATAACGTATGTTTAGAAATAAGAGAAGAAATGAAAAGTACCTAATGTGTCGAGGGACTGAAGATGCCACAGGTATTCGGAGTTTGACAACGCTTTAACCAGTAACACCTTCTAATATGAAGCACACCCACCAAGTGAAACCGAAAGACAAAAGCAAAGAGGTCCGAAGATATACTTGATAAGTTATCAATATATCGAGGATCATTTGAACTAATCTTGCTAGCGATTGCAGTAGATGTTGAGCACGGATTTCCCACACGTGATCTGGTGTGGATGTATGACCGAGCGCCTTCAGCTAGATGAGTCCATTGAAACTAATGTGGCCAGCATCCAATGTCACAAACTTACAGAGCTATTCTTTTTAGGGATTTACTTACCGCCACAGATCACCCCCCCCTAATGGGGTAGTGATGAGCCTAAGATGTGGCCAGCCAGAAGTTTAAATCCAACGAGTTTTTCGTTGGTAGACACTCTTCTGATAGCTTGCTATGTTTAGCAGCGTTTGGTCGTCTTTATTTCGAAGGAAGATTTTCGTTTCTGGCAAACTTCATCATTCTTTTTATCGTCTTTTCCAGCTATCCTGGAAAAGAAAAAAATTTGTAAGTGCATGTCGGAATACACTCGTACACAAAATGGGCGAAAAAGGAAAATAAAATCATGTTCACGTAATAGCGTAAAAAAGGAATTTATTAATATCGTTTTTTCGTTTTGTTTTTTTTTTGAAATAAAAAATAACAACAATATATGAGCATATTAAATTCGGGCTTTTTAAAAAAGATTATATATAGTACAGGGGAAAATCGAGATGATATAAAATGTCATCTAGTATCTTACGTGCAATAATCGTTCAAATGTTCTGGAAATCTTACCCTTCTTCCAGAACGCGTTGTTTTGAGTTGATTTTTGATACCGCCGAAGTATCAACGTGTGTATCGGCTGTTGTTATGACCTTGATTTGTCTACCCACTTTTTGGTGCCGGAGATACTTGTCTAATCTAGATTAAGACCTTGATGCGATAGGCTGATTGGATTAATTTCGAGACTTTTACGCGTGAGTTCGAGATGGGGTAGAGAGAAGAAAACTATTCTGTCACCTGATTGGTGGGCAAGCACACGAATGAGAGAAGACAAGACAACTGGAACACTACTCGATCTAATTTCCTGACCACTGAACTCACTGGATTTACTGGATTCAGATTAGTGTAAAAAGATACATGAATAAATAAGTGAATAACCCGACCGCAACGTACAATAATTAGGAAAAATACAATTATGTTCAAAGCTGGGAATTAGAGTAGAAAATAGGGTGCAAAATAATATGTTTAAATTACAATAGCTTCGAAACAGAAAACAGTATGGCAGTGAATGATACATCGAACGAAAGCTTATGTTCTGTAGAATAGATTAGGGACAAAAATAAATGTCAGTGTTTTACAAGCTCTGAATAAAATGAAATAACGTCCCGAAAAATAGCCTTCGTAGTTTGTCAGGGCTTCTTGTTTCCCGGTTCACATCAGCTGTCGATTGAGGTATTATAAGGGCAGGAGTTGTGTCGTGCGATTGTATTGAAGGAAAATCGACGTGAATAGAATTTCTTTCTAAATACGCTGCTTTGAGGCGATCGACGCTGATGCGTTCTTATCGATTATATAGTACTTAGATTCGCGTTGAAGAACTTTGAAAGGTCCTTCGTATGCTGATTCGAGGGGTCGTCGATGCGAGTCTTGACGTACGAAGAAGTGTGTACTATATTGTAAGTCAGGTTGAACGAAAACATCAGTTGATTGTGGTCGAGTGGAAACAGGTTTAACTGAACGCATTGCGTTTGTAAGCCTGTTTGTGTAGGAGGTTAGATCCATGTTCATCGAAGAGGATGAACGATCCACGAATTCTCCTGGAAGTCGAAGTGTTGTTCCATAAACGAGTTGAGACGCAGTGCATCAAATGTCATCTTTCACTGCATTGCGTATGCCTAGTAAGACGAGTGGAAGTGAATCAGTCCACTGAGAAATGTTTGAGGCTGATAGTGACGCTTTTAGTTGTCGGTGAAAACGTTCTACCAACCCGTTTGCTTGTGGGTGGTAGGCCGTCGTTCGGAAGCGAGTGATTCCTAATTTCGCAGTCAGACAACGGAACAGTTCAGATTCAAACTGACGTTTACGATCTGTAGTGATGGTTGTTGGGCAGCCGAAGTTTGCTACCCATCGTTCGACGAAGGCGCGAGCCACATTTTTCAGCAGTGATGTCCTTGATAGGTACTGCTTCTGGTCATCGAGTAAAACGGTCTACGCATGTTAAAAGATAAGAATATCCATTTGAATCTGGTCAAGGTCTTACCAAACCCAAATGAACGTGGTCGAAGCGAGCATCCGGAGTTTTAAACGAGCCTAAGGGAAATTTTTTATGTTTAATAACCTTAGATTTCTGGCAGCTTACACAGGAGCGTGCCCATACCCTCACGTCTTTATTCATACCAGGCCAGCAAAACTGTTCTGCTATAAGCTTGATGGTTGCATGAACACCTGGATGAGAAAGTCTGTGCAACGTATTGAAGACGTTGCGTCGATAATGTTTCGGCACGATTGGGCGATCCCTACCTGTAGATGTGTCACACAGTAATGTTTCCTTACCTGTTCCCACCTGTTTGATGCGCAGCTTAAGTGTTGTTGAGGAAAACTCGTGCTGAAGATCACTGTCTTCTTTTTGAAATTGGGCGAGTTTTCAAAGGTCGATTCCTTGGAAA